TGTTACCATCATTGACAATTGAGAAAGAGTCAAAATCAAATTTGAACTCGTACAACTCACCAACATATGAAAGATTCTTCTAGACTGACGGTGGAGAAAGACAGCAAAATTGAGTTAGGTTTTCTAACACATAAATCTATGCAAAACTTTTTTTTTTCTTGAATATATCCAAACGTCTCACTAATAGATCAAATCTATGTAAAACTTCCACATCAATATAAAAAGCCTCATCCTTATGATCTGGACACCGAAAAATGCATGCATTGATGGAAACACCAAGGGAGCAATCAAAGAATATGGTGATGTTGTGCACGTTTTCGGTATACGGGAAGAGGTCTGGGTCCAAGGTTGGCTATACGACAAGAACAAATATCATAGCTCCTAAGCCCAAAAATCTTTGAGCTCCATTATCATAGTGTTGTGGATGTGTTAAAGTTGTGCACTACGAAATGTTTCCTGAGGTACGATTAAATTATATGCAATAAAACCAATTAGGAGAATGATATTCAATGAATTGGATGCTTTGCGAAAATAATAGTCGGAAAGGTGTGAAATCAAATAGGAAAAGACAAAACAAATCTTTAAAGCAGGAGAAAGAAAACGGGTCGGGGTTTGAAAAAGTAATGGTGGATTTCAACCGGTGGAGGTGATAGGTGGGTTGGTGATAGTGGGAGATAAAAACAAATAATTGTGTAGAAATTATAAAGGTTGTGTTTGGTACGAGCAATCTGCTGAGATAGATAGATATCGGAGAAGTGGGATTCTAGCTTGACTATGTTTGGTTGAATAGATTTCAATATTTGTCTACCGAAATTATTACCCCAGGCCGTACCATTTTGCATGTCAATTGCACCAAAATAAACAGTCCCATATTCTCACTTCGCATGTGGTATTGTCGGTTGTCTAGCTAAATTAGCTAAATGGAGACATGAGACAATAATTAGCTGACGAACACACCCTCACGAGAGAATGAAAGTGAAAATGTCCAATCCACAATCATAAGCCTGTTTACGGGTAAAGGTAAAGGGTAGCCTTGGTGATTCAAATTTTTTAAAAAACAGGATTATTTTAGTAATTGCAATTTATTTTTTCATCAATATTTTATCTCAAACCAAACATAGCCTATATAAAATTTAACTAATTTTTCCGGTAATTTTTTTTCCAACCAAAAAAATTACAATTTTCTATCAAACTCACTTTCTAACAATTTCCCTAGTATTCAAAAAATTTATCGTTAACTAAATGGCCTAAGGAAGATAGTTTTCAAAATTACTGATGTGGACGTGAACGTGATTGATTGAACCAGGATAACGTTTGGATGATGGTTAACATCGAATTGATTTTTTAAAACATTGCTTAATAGTCTAATTTTAATTAAATACTACCACAAAGAGTAAACAGGATTTGTGAACTAAGGATTACTTTATCATTATCAAAACACCATCGTTCTACATTAATATTTTAAATAAGGGAAAATTTCAAAAATTTCCGTATGAATATTTTTAATTATCACTTATCCCCTCACATAGAGGGGGTAAAAGATAAAAAAAATTTAAATCAAGAGATAAATGATTCAAAATTTTAAAAATAGGGTAAATAATTATGGGAAAAATGATTTTTTTGAAGTTTTCCTTTAAATAATTAAGCAATTAGCTAGGTTAACTTGCATTTACTATAAGACCAAACCATGCATGTATTCTGTGCAGTAAGCACACACAGATATCGTTTCTCAAGGTGTGTAAAGTGAGAGTAAGAAAACAAAAGTTAACATGGAAGCCACAGGCAGCAGCTACGACCGAGCAAAAGCAGTTAAAGAGTTCGATGAGTCCAAGATCGGAGTGAAGGGTCTCTCAGATTCCGGCATCAAAAACATCCCACACTTTTTTGTCCACTCTCCACAAACTCTCTTAGACCTAAAATCTACCAAAACTGTGTCAATCCCTGTTATCGATCTCTCCAACAGCAACATAGCCTCTCAAAACCACCGTCCCAAAATCGTTGAACAAATCAAAGAAGCAGCCAAAACCTGGGGTTTCTTCCAGATCATCAACCACGGTGTGCCTGTGTCTGTTCTTGACGACACCGTTAAAGCCATCGAAGAGTTTCACGACCTACCCCACGAAACCAAGGCCAGTTACTATAAACGAGAAGAGGGACGAGGCGTGATGTATGCTAGCAACAACGACTTGTACAGGACAAGTGCTGCCAGCTGGCATGACTCTCTTCAGATGTGGATGGCGCCGGAGGCAGCGAAGGTTGATGAGGAGGATATGCCGGAGATATGCTGGAAAGAGGTGGTTGAATGGGATTTGCATGCAACTAGGGTTGCTGATACGGTGTTGGAGTTGCTGTCAGAAGGGTTGGGATTGGAGGGTGATAAGTTTAAGGAGTTAACGTTTTCTGAAAGTAGAGTGATGCTAGGGCACTGTTACCCATTCTGCCCGCAACCCGATTTAACCATGGGAATCACGCCGCATACAGATGTTGGTACCATAACGGTGTTGTTGCAGAACCACTTCAAGTGAAGCACGACGGTGAGTGGGTGGATGTCAACCCTGTGCATGGTGGTCTCATCATCAACGTTGGCGACTTTCTTCAGGTATGTGTGCGTTGTATCTGGATCCTTTAATGTTGTATTAAAAAAATATAATATAAAATTATTATTATAATTCCTTATGACCAAGAATTTATTCCTCGGTGCTACTGTTAAAAAGATGATATGTTGTTAACCTCGACCATGAAATTTTATGTACGTGTGCATATTTAGTCCAAATATTGGGGGCAATGTTTTTGAAATAAAATTTTAAACAAAATTTTAAATGCATTAAAAAATAAAAGAATATAACTAAAAATGTATTTATATCCATCATCTTACATGAATCAATTTTTTTGTCATATTGAGAAAAAGACAAGATCAATTCATGGAATAATGTGTCATTTCATTTTCTTTATTATTATATAACTTGTCTTTTTATTTATATAATAAAATTTTTGATTCATATAATATGAGCGATATAATCCTCAAACAACAAAAGAAAAGACAACTTCGACTTAACATAACTTAATGATATAAAACATAAGTAGTAAATAAGATGTGTTTCTTTCTTAGTACATGTATTTGTATTCATGGCAATGCAGCCACTAAAATTATTTTTTAAGTGACATTCTTAATTAATTAAAAAATATATCTCTTTTTTACTAAAAAAAAAATATATGACCAAATTTATGTGTATAAGACAACCAAATAGGTTCGCCAATGGTTGTTAAAGACGATTTAAATAGAAAGAGTAAATGGGACGATTAATTGGTTCAGTATATAAGTGAAAGGTGGAAATTGTTAACTCTCTAGAGTAGAAACTCATTCAGCGAAATGCTATTTTGCTCAACTAATAAGAAAAAGTGCTTAGTTTTGAAGGAGAAAAAAGTTTTACGTTATTATTTGTATATTTATTGCCTTTGTTTGTGATGATTTAATTTGAATCTCTTTTGTTGTAGATAATATCTAATGGGGAGTACACGAGTGTACAACATAGGGTGTTGGCAAATTCACAGAAAAAATCGCGAATCTCAATTGTGATATTCTTCAACTTAAGGAAATGGAAAGGAGATGGTTACTATGGGCCTCTTCCGGAGTTGTTGTCGCCGGGGAACCCACCGATTTATCGAGATTTCACATCGAAGGAATTTATCGACAACTTTTACAGCAAGGGAATTGACACCAAATCTTTTATAGAAAAGATTAGAATTCAAAACTGAAACGCTATTAAATGAGAGTACATTAAAGTTTATCTTTTTCCTCGTATTTTTTTTTTTTCAATTGAAAATTGTAGGGGAGATAGTATGTATTGCACCGTCCTAAGGTCATGAGGGTGTCTTGAATTTGTTCATCACTTTTATATTACTTAACTTTTTGCACTCAAGTGAAATTGTGCAAAAATTATAACGAAAAACGTGATGGACCAAATTGTGGTTTGTATTAAACATATTCCTATTTTGCATAAACTTTAAATGCTTGGATAAATATTACTTCCGAATTGAATAATGAATTTTACAGAGTATTTATATTTCTCACAGTTTATATTGTATCTCTTGGTAATATAAGTGTGTTAAAGCGATGTAAAAAATATATTTAAATAATTTTATGTGCTAACTATGGCTAGTGTAAATAATCATAATTACATTACACGTACGTAGAGTTGTGTAAGTTATAATTATCTTTAATTTAATCATTCCTATGTATCAAAAAAAATCCAATTAACTTTTTAATTATAGTGCTGTGACTTGTGACAACATTCTCTTATATCTAAAAAAGGTCTCTTGAAGACTAGAACAACTAAACAATATCTAAGAAGAAATATTATTTCAAGTAACGCTACATTTTTTAATAAATGTGAAGCCGACCACTAGTTGAGTCACAACATGAAAATTCAATTCTCATACAACATGAAAAAACCAAACCACATACATAAATCATGTTATATCGCATCACCTAATAAGATGCATATCAAAGTAAGTGTAAGGTTTTCACCAAAAAAAAAAAAGTAAGTGTAAGGTGTTAAGAGATAGCAGTTTATGAGATTTTGTTTTTTATTTCACTCAAAAGGAATATAAATTTTTTGCATAAGACAAATGCTTGATGCTAATTAGTCCTACGCACACCACGTTAAAACTTAGCGAGATAATACAATTATAGTGTAATGTGAAATGGAGCTAGCTTCGGTGCATATAACAGCGTAGGAGAAATGTGCCCAGTTTAAAATGATAGGACATTCCTTGTCAGGGAGAGCTTGACAGCAATTTGTGCTATGTAGAAGCCAGTAGCACTCCTTCCAAAAAATAAATAGACTTTCATTTCGCTATAGTTTCATCTGAGTAACATGCCATGTTTATAGGTTCATTTCGTGTTAAGACCTCGCTTAATCCATTAATGCAATTGGGCAGGGTATACTTTACTTTGTGTCTTTTTGTTTTAATGATAATGTTGCTAGGGGTAACAAGAATGGCAAGCCCAAACAGAGACAGGAACTTGAAATAGATCATATAATGTCATAACAAAAATATAGTTGACAGAAACAGAAACATGTAACATTAATCAAAACCAGAGATATAATCAGCAGTAATTAAGCAAATCAAAAATTCGGTCTCCGAGTCCAAAATCAAGAAGCGACAAACAAAATCAGCGACCAGAACTCACTTGATCTTCTTCTTTGGCCTCAACTGCAAGAGGGAAACAATTGTTCAGTCACCAAACACGGCAGTTAAGGTTCAACATCAAATTGATGAAGTGACATAATTATCTTAAGACTAACCTGATTACTATGACCACACTTCTTCTTGCGGCAGTTTACAGCCCTTGGATGTAAACGAGCATAGCATCTAACAAACCAACAAATAGACACTTTGGTAAAAGAAAACAGAAAGCATATTATAAAAGCATTGATAAAATGAGAATGTACCATCCAAGAAAATCAACTGAAAAGCAAATAAAGACAGTTGACAAAGTTAAGAGATGGAGATCAATATAGGGAACAAGTATAACCCCTATTGCACTTGAAAAGCAAAAGGGGCTAAGTAATTGTCCCATTATTAAGGGAATAGTGAAAGAAAGGTAACATAGCATACTTGCGGCAGATTGTTTTGTCTTGGTTGTATTTTCGAGCCAAAGCCATCAAAGAAGGCTCGATGATACCACCGCGAAGCCTGAGGACAAGATGAAGGGTTGATTCCTTCTGAATGTTGTAATCAGCTAAGGTGCGTCCATCTTCCAATTGCTTACCTGCGAATATCAAACGCTGTTGATCTGGAGGAATGCCTTCTTTGTCTTGAATCTTCGCTTTCACATTGTCTATCGTGTCGCTACTCTCTACCTCGAGAGTTATCGTCTTCCCCGTTAGGGTTTTCACGAATATCTGCATCTTGATCTTCTTTGCCGCTTCTTCACTTCACTTCTCTGTTCTCTCCGACTTTTTTATACTATCGTTTCTAGGGTTTCATTCATTTGTTCTTGTTGGGCTCCAAATTAATTTGGGCTCCATTTTGGTGAAACCTCAAGAAACAAATAATATTGGGCTCCATCTTGGAATTTTGTTATAACTTAATAGGAGGTGTTTAGTAGAAGAAATTTTTTTAAAATCCTGAAAAAAGTGAGATTGATAATTCGATTTACTCATGTTTGAGAGGAGGATTGTAAAACTTTTCCGGGAAAATTCGGATTACCGGAATTCATGTTTATAAAGAAAATTTCTATATTAAAATATCACCAAATAAGTGATATTTTGAGAATACTATGTGATGAGAATATTTGATAATTTTTTTGGGACATAATTAACCTCAATCTATATTTTCACCAATATTTTACAATCAACCAAATAAAACACCAATAAAATTAACCTAACATTCTTGTGAATATTTTTATCTATAAAATAACTTTTTGGTAATATTTTTGAAAAACTCATGTTTCCATCATATTCTCAGGAATCATAGTTTTTTGATAAAAAAAAATTTCTTCTCTACCAAACATTCCCTTCATTCAAATTATTGCTGAGTTTATAATCTTATCAGGTTTACTCTTCACTAACATGAATTTATAGATTTTATTTTGAAAATAATGTTTTCCTCCAAATATTTTTTTTCTATTTTCTTTTACTTAAAACTTAAGGTCTGTCTATTATGCAAAGTCATAGATGAAAGACACAAGAAAGGGAGAAAAGTGATGATTTTTACCATCTCATATTTTGTAGGATAAAAAGAAAAGGAAATTAATAAATTCAGATGCATCTATGTTTTCAGATGTACCTAGCTTACGTGAGCCTCGTAGACTTTCATTCATCCTTTCTTTTTAAGGAACGAGGGGAAAATATTAGTGACACGAGAAAGGAAAGTGAGCCTCGAATGTTTAAACGATTCCAATATTTTCAATTTTTCATTTATTTTTATAAAACTAAACAAATGTAGGGAACTAAGTTGAATGATAACTTTTATTTTCATGGCATTCCTTCCTTTTCTTTTTCTAACGTAATATTAAAGAAAGCCTAATCAATCAGTTGCCTACAAGAAAAATTTCTCAGCTGGTTTCACTGAATATTTATTTTTGGCCATAATTAAATATATACACGTACATGAAGAGACACACTACACATGTATAAACATAACAAAATAATTAAACATAACATAACCCTTGTAAGTGACAATTATGAATACTTCTGGGTTTTACTCAACTGTGGGGTGGACCATTAGGTGAGAGATGAGGAGTGCAGTGTCAAAATCAGCGCACTGAAGTTCGCATATACAATAAAAATTGAATGTAATTTTTTGGTAGTTGATAAATTGTACATAATGAATTTGTTATGACTGGCCAACCACTTCTGCTTATTGTTTAGAATTCCGACTCTGGACACAATTTTAACGATGGATACCCCATAGTCCAACCAAAACAGGAACTAAAGGGATTCTATCTTGGAAGCAACAATCTCAAGAAGTCCCTTTGGGTTGTCCACGTGAACCCAATGACCAGCATTTGGAAGAACACAGAAGGAAACCTTTCCAAGAGATTCATTTCCTCCCCGACTGGATAGTTTTTGGATCCGCTCAATAGCACCTTGGTCCCATCTGTCACTTTTTTCGGCACGCACAATTACTATTTCCATACCTTTCGGTGGGTTCTCCAATAGATTCCAATAGGACTTTATACTGCAGAATTCTAACATTCGGCATTGTTACTTTTGGATCATGGAGGAAGATCACAGAAAATACTTACGAATAACAGAGAAAAAATATAAACACAGATTTTAGAATATTTTTGAGACAATTCATTTTTATATAGAATGAAGTTAATCTGCTTTATTTACCAGTAAGAATCGAACATCTCCTTAGCACTTTGAAGATCAAATAACCATGTCTCGTGATCACCAACTTTCTTCAGATTGGAGCCTATCCAATCTGACAATGCCTTAGAGTAACCAAGTCCCATCAGATGACTCACAAGCCACCTGAAAAGCGGCCCAAAGTGCATTTAAGTCTAACTAGAATATAGACGGGCATAAGGAAGATTCATACATTTTAAATTTTTGGTACGGTGTTCAATTATAATTGGGCACAATAACAAGGTAAATACAGTGCACTTTCAACAAGACTCAAGACATTCAGAAATTAATAGCAGACGTTAGACAACCAATCAGATCAAGACCTCATCCAAAAAAAATGAAGAAAAAACCTATAGTTCCCTTCTTCTTGTGATATAGCCATTTGAATTTTTTTTATTTAAAATGTGTAACAAGCATGTATAGACTGATGAGAAGATCCTATACATGAAACTAAATGAAAAATGAACAAAATTCTCTCTCTCTAAAGTCTGTATGTTTTATTGGAAGGATGAAATATAACTTCATACATACTGTTTAGCATGTACTCATATCTTTTAATCCAAAAATGCTACTGGAGGAAGCAACATATACCAGGGCATAGAGAGTCTCCACTTGACACCCCAAAAATGATTACTAGCCTATTGACAAACTTACTACAAACATGGAAGATAATAAGTTTAGGGATAGAGAGTCTCACTTCCGGGATGGGAATTGTGATGGTAAACTTTGCAAGGTTGCTAAAACATCTCGGACTTCTTCATTACTGTTTTCAGGGTTTACTTCCCCAGGAACAGAATCCAGTACCCAGAGCTGTTCTTCAGCAGGTATAAAAGGAGAAAATTCTTATAAATAATGAATTGAATCTGTAGTGAAAAATCTAAGCATTTTAATGAGTAAATATAGTCCGCTTGACAGTTGTAGTAAGCAAGATACAAAGAACATTAGGCCTATACTACAGGTGCTTCAATTTAAAATCTATAAGAAAAAGATTCTTGAAAATCAAAATACTACAGCAGAGGAAACCTGAGAAAAGGAAAGAAAATGGAAATAGATTAGGCATATTGTATGTTTCTTAAAGCTTGATGATATATTTGTTAATTCACAAGTCTATAAATTGATTCCATTTCCATTCATGATGACACATGGGTTACATACTATATGCAGAACAAGTTTGTTACAGTTTATTTTACTTTAGTCGAATGTTAAAGTAATAGGTACTTCTTAACTATTTACTACTTTAAATGACGTAAGGTGTCTCCATCTTCATATAAGACAACACTATTTCATTTATCTCATAATCTATTAGGTATAAGCTAGTGAGAGGTAGGAAAGAAAAATTAAATTCTTCTCATCCGTAACATCAGAAAAACACTGCTTGAAGTTTTAAAAAATGCACACAAAAGACAGGGAAATTTCAAAATGCAAAATTCTACCAGAGTGCGAAATATACTAATAGCAAACCTCATAATGTGCATAGCCATCATTTCGCATACGTAAAACCAAGTGTTAGATGGCCGTGTCTTACTTATCCAAAAAAGAAAGAAAAAAAGGGACTCTGGTCTCACAACAAGCACATATAGGGCTGCTGTTTGTATCTGTTAAACTACATTTTTTACCAACAATATATTCTAATGCACCACAAGTTATGCACATTTTACAAGCCTTAAGTCATGAGGGAACACTGACGTACCTATTTTACCCCACACATTTGCATGAATATATATTCACAGCTATGTTAAACTTGACACACTTATACCACTATATATAGCTGACAATCTTGATTTTTATCATGTTATTTTGGGCTAATTGGGGAGCCAAACTCTCTAAACCAACCTTAGATCGTACTTTCTTGGTGTATATTGATTAGTTTCGTTTTTTAGTTAGTTTGAATCATTTGAGTGTTTTTTAATAAAGCTAGGTTACTTTCTTGTGTGTAAATAACATTTTAACTAAGTCCCTTTATGCTACCATGTAAGTAAGTAATCTTGGGAGCAATTGATGAATTTCGCAAGGATTAAGAGGAAATTCATGGAATCTTTCAGCTGTTTTTGGTCAGCTACGGTTATACTAAGGAATTACTTGATTAAAAGAGAATTAGTCTACCAAGGAATTGGGTATAATCAAAACTGGGAATTCGACCATCAATTAGAGATTAAGGTTTTGAATCAAAGCTTAGGTTCAATAACTTCAAGGAAGAATTAAGAAAAATCCGAACCAATGAGTAATCTCTTCTTCCTTTACAAAATTCTTTATTTAAAAAATAAATAGATAAAATTGCAAACCATATCAAATTCTACTTCAGCATTTTTGTTTAATTCATTTTTCAACTCTCCTCTATGCATAATTAGTTACTTTCAGCAATTGCCAAGGTCATATCCATAACTTCTTATTAAAATAAAAATGTCTTTTGATTAATTGAACTGAGGGATTCATTACTATTTAATAACTATTATAGTAGAGAAGAGGAGAAATATAGTGATAGTGAAGAAGAAAAACCTGTTTAGGCCAGAGAGCAGAATCACCATAATCACCACGGCTACAATTCTCAGCAAACTGCAAGGCCACCTTTCCACCCATGGAATGGCCTATAACAACCTCAGGCCAACACCAACCTTCAGCCTTTACCAAATCGGCCAAATCTTTCGCCGTATTATCCAAATCATGAGGCGGATTCAGTTTCCTCTCCGTTGATTGTCCATGATTCCTCATATCCAACATCACCATCCTCCAATCTACACAGAAATAACCAAACAAAAAGAAAATCGATAACTCAGTTCAGAATTCGCATATCGAAAATATTAAAAAGGGGAAATGAGAAGTATGGAGATACTGGAAGAGGGAGAGGAATTGGAGAGAGAGTGCAAGAGGTTGCGAGAGAAAGATCTCCAATTTCTGGCAGATCCCAAAAAGCCATGGATGAAGACGGCCGTTGAGGTGTAAGGTTTGTCTGGATGAGCTCGCAGTTCTTCGTAGGCTATGGTTTCAAGCCACCTTCGATGGAGACTCGGTGAGTTGAGAAACCGAGTTAGGAGATGGAAGCTGTTTCTGTTTCCAAGAGATGCCGCCATTTTCTGCTTTACTTTTACTTTGACTGGGCATTTAGTTCAGCTGTGGCGTAATGGCGCTATGGAATGGGTTAACTACAAGGAACACGGAGGATCATGCTATAAATTATTGACATATTTTATTATCCTCTCGCGTCGAAAGAAAAAAACGACGTCACGTCTTCCGTCACGTGCAAAGATTACAATTATATAAAACAATCAATCATTATAATTTGTTAACGGATTTTATAAGAGTTATCCTGTAAAAAGAAAATGATTGTGTAATATTATAAAGATTTGTTTTGCGTGTCTTGGTTTTTTTTTTTAAAAGGTACGGGCTCCACAAAATATTGTGTGTGTAAAAAAATTTCTTGTGTCATGTTAAATGATAAATACAAATCTCTTTGTTAACTACCTATTTTAACACGTGCTTTTCCCTCCATTTTGATCCTTGATCTATTCTTGTATGATTATGAATCTCATATGAGAAGATCATAAATATATAAAAGTGAATCAATGATTATGATTTATCTCTTCCTTTTTATCATTAATTCATGTAATATGATAACTATACAAAGGTGAATCAACAATTATAATTTCTTAATTAACTATTTCAATATTTTCTCTCTCTTTCTTTATTATCATTGACTATTTCATTTTTTTTCACATGAGAAGATCACAACCTTTATCAATTATAATTTATTAATTAATTATTTTAATATTTTTCACATGCATCGATATCCGATCAGTCCATACATAATTTGCAAATTAAAGATTTTGAATTTATTTTCACAAAATAATAAATACGAAGAACTGAAAAATATATAAAATATAGTGACAGCTGTGGGATTTGAACCCACGCCCTTTCGGACCAGAGCCTAAATCTGGCGCCTTAGACCACTCGGCCAAACTGTCTGTTTTTCATTGTACGTTCGAATAAATTTTTTCAAATAGTAGAGCAACTTGGTCAACTGTTCTTAACTTTTTGGCAACCTAACCCGGTGAAATAGCGAGTGCTTCAAAACAAATGCAACATTCTTAGCCTGTCCGCGTGCATATTATTGAAGAACAAGTGGGTCATGTTGATACTATGTGCACCAATATTGATGAGACACGAAATATGACAATATATCTCAATACATTAATTCTAAAAAATATTAAGTTTTGATACGTAAGATATATTTTGATATTAAATAATATTTTTAATATATAAAATATAATTACATTAAATACTTATAGCAGCTATAATAAATCATATAATCAATTAAATATTCAAATTTTATAACGTAAAAATACTTTTTTATGTTTAATTAAAAAAAATAAATTAAATTAAATTTTGAATCTAAAAAAAAAATGTCAAAAAATATTGAAAATATATCTCAAAATATTGACTACGTATCTCAAAAAATTAATTATGTGTCACAATGTGTCAAGATATATCAATATTCAACAAGTATTCTATACACATTTTTCTCTCCAAATAACATCATATTTTCTAAAGCTTTAAGACAAGGTTAACGTACCAAAACCACCAGCAAAATTTATGAATTGGACCTATTGACCAATAAGCTTCTTCCAGGTGTCGCAGTCTACACCATTTCCATCGTCATTTGTCAATAATCTCATACTCTTTGGATAACAGCTTGAGAAAACCCAGTTTTCCAAAACTACAACCCGATGCTATTCCAAACTCACCTGTCACTTTCCTAATCGCCCAACCTTGCACGCAGATTAGCCCTGTGACGTAAGCTGTTTCCGCCGAATGTGAATAAAATTGTAAGGTAGCAACATACTTTTAAAAACAAAAATTAAAATAATTGAGAACATATTTTTAGTAATTAAAATATAACTTTTTTATAAACGAAATATTCTGCGGCTGATAAAGGTGTAAGTGGGTCAAACCGATATACAAGAGTCGACTGCGTAGACTATATTAGATCAGACTCGACTTATTACATATAATCAAATAGAACAGATCAGAATTTTTTAAAAAAAAAATTATTTAAAAAGCAGGACATATGTTTTGTTTACATGTTAGTCTTATAAATCTACACACTGACTTATATCATATTATTTATTTTAAATTAAATTAAAAAATATTATTCATAGTTGTACCAAATAATGATAGTTCAATTGGTGCATGTGAGTTGAGTAGGTGGTGGAAGGACCTAAGTTCGATCCACCACCAATACTACATTTAGAAGTGGCATAAGATCTGTACCAATCGCTAGCTACAGTAGCATCAGAACCAACATTTAGTGTCGGAGAAAGAGTTATTGATGTTTATCGTTCTAACTTGGCTGAAGATATCATCGCAGCTCTAATATATGGTGGAGATTGACTACATAATAAGTATGACTTGAAGAAAAAATAAAAGGTATAAAAAGCTCTTTTGGTTTTAATCTTTTCTTTCTTTCTACTGTTTAATCTTGTTTTTTTGTTTTCTACATTTACAAATTATTTGCCATGTAATTTTGGAATTGTATATGCACGAGAGAGAAGATAATAAGAAGATTTTGGCTACTACAGGCATCATGATACATTTGTTGGATTCATGCAATTATTTTAATTTGCACAGTGTGGATTGATTTGTTGGATCTAATGAAATATATGTTATTTAGTTTGGGTATCTTGCTTGCTTCTGAAAGTGATTTAAATGCAGATTGTGATAAGTTGTTGTTGTGATTCATGATTTTGTTTGTACGCTAAAATTGTGATTTTTGTTTTAACAACAGAATTTAAGTATTGTGTGAAGTTGATTCATGTTATGCTGGAAAGTTATAAATTAACATACTAATGGGTCAGGTCAAACCATTAGTTTTTTATAAACGAGATAGACAAGGCTAACAGTTAGACTTGTACTATATTATCGGATTATGTTAAATTAAATATTTTTAGCTTAAACTTAGACTTTTTGAAACAAAGCTCGCCCTAATGCAGTCGACTTTAACCACTAGTGGCTGATATTTTAATCGTAATATGATCAATTGTTTAAACACAAACATATCAATTTTTTCAAAAAGTTTAATATTATAATCATGTACTAATATAATTTAATTCGATACACTTAAATTGGATACACTAAGGAAATGTCGAGATAAAAGGATTTTTAAAAATTGAAAATATTTTATAGTAAACACAAATTATTATTATTTAAATTTTTTTAAAATGTATTAGGCAACATTTGGATATTTTTTTATGATAAAAAAAAAATTGTTAGTGAAGACTTTTTCAATTTCAAGTAATGAGTAACCAACAGAGCAACTGAAAGTACTCCAATTTTCATACATTATTTTTATAAAGGATTAGATTTTTTTCGTTCATGCATATATATATATATATATATGCAATAATTTCAATACGATATTGTATTGGGACAGAAATTAAAATATTTTTATAATTTTAATTTATATTAGAATTATTATAGTTTATATAATTAAAAAATTTTAATCTTTCAATTTTAAAATATCGTCATTAAATGTAAATAACTTATCTTCAATAATTTCAGAATTATTTTTCTATTTTATAAATTATTATTTTTCCTTAGGTGCTATTTGGTTGGAGTTTTCTAAAAAGTCGCCCATGCAAGTAGAAGTGGGTATCATGGAAAGCCTTGTTTGGTTGGCTGATTCTTAAAATTTTCCTACCTATTCCACTTGCCTGGCAAAGCATGTTTGGTCGTTGAAATCCTTCCTTTTTCACTGTTGAGAAAGACATATTCAACATGGTTTTTTGTTAGTTAGATGGGTAAATGAAAAGGTGAATCATGACCCAGACCAAAATACCCCTGAGACGGCAGGGTCCATCACTTCCGTCAGGGTTGATTCGGATGTTAACTCTCTCAGCGGTAGAGAACCATTGCAAGCTGATGCAGAAATTGGAGATGATGGGAAGTTTCATGTGGTGGTGAGAAGATCAGCTTCTTCTTCAATCAATAAGTCTCTTACTGGGGTTGAAGAAGAGATGTTGAAGATGCAAAAAAAAAAGGGGATCGAGGAGCAAGAGTTGTAATGATCTAAAACCAATGTTTTCAAGGTCTGTCAGTGATGGCCAAAGAAATAAAGATATCAGGGGTGGTACCTCTAATAAGGAGTTACACAAGTTTGTTTGGAACTCGAGTGCAGCACCAGCTTCTTTTACTCTTATTTCTCCACCGAAACACAAGCCATGGCAATCTGCAACAACTGAACCATCACCTCCTCAATGTTATGGAACCTCATTAGCTCAGCATCGAACACTTCCGCGGTCCACTCTTCACGAACCACTGACTGGACCCACCTGGGTAGATCAATACCCTCCTCACCCAAAGAATAGGGATATTTTAGTAATTGTGACTTATTTTCCCATCTATATTTTACCTCAAACCAAACATAGACTTTATATCTTACCTAATTTGCCCAGTAATTTTTTTTCCAACCAAACAACTTTTTTTACATTTCCCTACCAAACTCACTTTCCAACCATTTTCCTATCAATTACATTTTCCTAATATTCAAAAAATTTCTATTCAACCAAACACCCCCTTAAAGTCTTCGTCCCCATTGATCCCAAATTATGCAAAACTGTCTTTTTCACGGCTATATGAGACCCAAACAGGGAAAAAAACGAGGTCCAATGGTCATGCCACGTCAGAAGAAAACGCGGGACCCACACAGAGAGGTCATCAATTTTTCTTGCTTTTCACCGAGCTGCGACCCTCCGCCACATCACTGTGTTTGATTATTATTTACCATCTTTCTGTTTCTTCTTCACTCACCCTTTCTCATTTCGCACTCATTAACCAAGAAAATGGACTCCTTTCACCGCCGATCATCATCCTCCTCCGACCGATTACTCGGAGTTTTCACCTTCTCGCCTTCCCCTGCCGCCGCTGCCGACGAGCTTAACGAAGCCGAGCTCTTTTGGGCCACCGATTTCCCCGGATCGGAAAATCAAATACCCTTGCCACAGCCGGCGGAAAAAAATTCTCCTCGGAGTTTCGATCGCCGGCAAGACTCTGGCATCCTCGTCGCATTAACGAAGCCCGATCGTCGTGCCGGCGACGTTCCGGTGTTTCGCGGGAAGTCCTCTGTTTCGTCTTCGATGATGATTCCTTCGTTGCCGAGACTTCCACCTGGTCCTGGCTCTGAGTCCGTGTCTTCTAGAAAGTTCCAGCAATCGGCTCCCGTGAAAGTCCCGATTCTGCTGTCGAAGGACTTCGCGAGGAGGAGGAACGGCGATGAGCTTGGGCTCGTTGACGACGATGACGACGACGACGAGATGTTGCCGCCACATGAAATCGTCGCTAGGGGTTTTGGAGTTTCACCCAAAACCACTTCTTCGGTGTTGGAAGGGGTTGGAAGAACACTCAAAGGGAGGGATCTCCGTCATGTAAGAAACGCTGTTTTGCGCAAAACCGGTTTTCTCGATTAATCATTGCCGGGTTTTCTTGTTATATATTGTTAAGAGTTTCCACTCAACTTTGTTTTCGTATGCTCTTTTTGTTCATGCTATTTATGGAATTTGGAAATGATGCAAATTAATGAACAAAACTTGAAGTTGCCTATTTTCTCGTTTCTATGTGTTTTATTTTTCTTCGAATTATTATAGTTTTTAAGTTGATTATTTGCTTCTATTTATTGATCATTGTATATTTTCTACCCTGAAACATCTGAACTAGTTTGTATTATGTGATGTATATTTTATCTCCTTGCTCTCGTGAGAAACTAAGAGTTTGGGGATTTGGAAATGCCTACCGTAATTTGTGGGAATTCTTAAATGGCTAAACTACAATCTTACTGCTTTTATTTTTATTTCAATTGCACTGTCTGACTGCTTTGATAATATAAGTTAGTGGGAAAAAATTGGGGTGAATAATGAAGTGAAAACTAATCAGGTAATTGCCACTTTTCCATGTGATTGTGATTTTTACTAATTTCTTTCCTAGGAGGTGAGGTGGACAATAATTATGCTAGAAAACCTTGGAGAGTAGGTGAGATTGTTGTCAGTATTCAGGTTGTTGACCTGTTATTATGAATATTTCGTCACGAATTAGATTTTTATTATACTTTACAAAGAACCATAAATACTGGTAGCTTACACTCATTCTCTAATACGGAAGAGTTGTGAATAACAATATCATACTGCATGATTCGTTCCCACTTCTCAGATTTCAGTGGAAAGCCGTGTCATATCCTTGTCATAGGTACTTTGGTTAAACGATGTTGATTTGAGAAAACAGCGTTGCCCTCGTATGCTAGACTTGATGATTTAGCGCAATGAGTGCAGTTCGTCTATTTTCCTTCGTGAAAATGATTGTTTGTCCCACCATAGTTGAAGTTATGGGTAACTAGATTGATTCATGACCTTGTAAAGTTGCTTGTAGAACGGGGTTGAGTCATGACGATGGACAAAAGCATTAATTTTCCAATTTTAAAATATTGTTACTTTATCACTAACAAAGGAAAACAGACAAAAGTTTCAGCGTCAAAAAAGCTAAGCAGATATATTGTGTTGTAGTTCTGCAGAATAAAAGTCCTTTGCGTCACAAGATTAACTTTACTAGTTATCTTTCGCGTAATATTCAACAGTGCAAGATTTTTTTTTTTAAAACAGACTATCATTATTCTTTAAACTATTCAAACCCCAAAAAGTACTTTGGCTGAAAAACCATTTTAAGTGAAAAAATAAACTAATATACCAAGTTCATCAAATACTTACTTCAGGTCTGGGGTTCGAGTGTCCTGATGTTTGGTTCCATTCTTTTCAATAGTTTCCTAGTTAAACGAAGTTTGATCTTTAGAAAACTAAAGTTTGTTTCAAGACCAAAATCCATTCATGTGAAATGCATAGCTTTTTGATAAAGATAGAAATTTGTACCGTTTAAAAACCGAATTTGAAAGTGATTTTTTAAGAAAACTCGAATAACTGTTAGATACACTTTTTGTTATATATTTCCCTGATAAAATTTTGTCAAACCATACTACTTTTTTTTAAGTTCTCCATCTATTCAATTTTTTCTATGGATACCTAGTAATTAGATTTCTATAGTATTATTAAAATTTATCTTCAACCAATAAATAAAGTTGGATTCGTTCGAAATACACATTTAACACCACAAGGAAGGACTGAAGACTAGTACAGTTCTAATGTCCTTTCATTTTGTTTTTCAAACAAAAAACCCAACGATATTGTTCACGACCAGAATATAACCACAGCGAGAATTCTTAAATTAGAAAAATGTCAGGTTCCGATTTTCTTAAATTCAGTTTAGGTCATAGTGGTTAAATTCTAGAAATCAAAAACAAGATGCCCAGAATGAGAGCAATAGCAAGTCAGAAATAAGAATGGATATGCCTCAAAATTTTGAGTTCAAAAAGGAAACTTCCTTTCACACATCTAATTGATTCATCATCCTTGCCTTCCATTTTCTTTAAAAATGAAAAATAAAAAAATAAACAGAACACCAAATCAGCAATCTGGGTAAAACCAGTTAGATTGGCAACCACAAATAAATATATATATATATATATATATATATATATATATATATATATAAATAAACTTTTTTGATGCATTTGTTTCCCACCTGACATAGAGGCATTGATAAAAATGACCTAACCAAAGGAGCCGAACTACCGTTTGTTGAATCTAAAGAGGGCAAATTAAGCACAAAGCTATTTACCGTAGAGAACAACAAACGGCATAGAAACCAAAGGTATAGAGATTCAATGCCTCGTAATTAGAACAAGGTGGGAGAAAAGAGGACCCAGAAGGAAAACCCTAATGAGAAACCTCAAAAAGTGATGTTGATGTAGCGCTGCTATGACTCAAAACGCTTCCATGGTCAATAAGGAAGGCGATCTTAAGGGCTGCGCTTACAGATTTACAATAACAGGCAAAGATGAAACGGCAAATCGAAAAAGTTGTGTGTTATACGATAGAAAGATAAACCCTAATGGACGATGAGGGGAAATTTATAATCTCCTTCATATGTTGAAAGACGATTTTACCCCTATATATGGTGGCTCGGCTTCTCAGCTATATGGGCCGGTACTAATTTAGGGTCTTCACTCGCGAATATTAATATTTAGCTAACGCGTACTGAAGGATTTTGGGCTCTTGGCCCATGAACCATGATGTACACTTATGGCCCAAATTAATTTTTAAATTCTTAACGAGTTACATGTTCGAATCTCGATTCTAAAAGATTATTTTTTGTGAACTGGGACCACCATCTTTTAGGTGGTTTCTTAGTGTAAATAGGAGGGTAAAATTGGAAAAGAAGAAAAATAATAGGGATAAAAAGGGAAAGAAAAAATTAATGATGTGAGAGGGAGCACCAAAAGATTCAGTGGTCCTGGACCATATTAAATATTTCTCGATTCTAGAATCTAATCTAATAATAATATGAAATACCAATTACTGTAAACGAACCGTTTAGTAGACGGATAAATTTTAGATTCTCAGTCAACTCACATTTGGAATTCTAGTTACTTATGTTTGGTATAAGAATTCTTAAAAAATTTATGTGAGAATGAGATTCCTAGGATTAAAATTGTGAATAAGAATCCCGTGAAATAATAATATTTAGTGGATGATATTCTTGGATTCTCACGTGGTGGTAAAAAATTATATAATTTATAGGACATAAATAATCCTGCTTCTATACTTTCATGACTAAAATATCCTCTATTGTTAAATCTGTAGCCGTCATATTCTACTCTGGTTTGAGAATTAAACTGGTTTCAGAACGGTCAAATTCATTTGAAAAATTTGAGTTTGATCTTCAACGCCGTGTTTTAACCATTTTGTGACATATTAGAATTTTATTTTCGAAATTCATCAAACATATAATCAGTAAACTTGAGTCATCATTCCAGAAAATATTTTGACATGCAAAACAATTTTGTAATAACATTATTGAAAAATTCACTTTCTATTGCCTTTCGTCGTTATTATACAATGTTACAATCATATTTATGTACACTATCCGTGTTTTGTATTTTTATTTTTTTTCCTTTTGGGTATTCGTTTTTATTTTGTTTTAAGTAGGACTGGCAATGTGGGCCAGCCCGCCCCGACCCGCCACTAGCCCGCCCAAAATGGGTTGGCCCGCCCCGGCCCGTTTTGACAAAATGGGTTGAATTGAGTAACCCGGCCCGTTTTATGAGTGGGCTGGCGGGCTACGGGCCAGCCCGCCTAAAATAAAAAAATATAAAAATAAAATACAAAAAATTAAATTCTGCATAAAATCACATAAAAAAATCTGCATAAAAGCATACAAAAATTTGCATAAAATCCTAATGTGCTTATGAAACCAAGAAGATCAGTGTTTAATAATCTGCATATAAATATGCATCTTTCAATCCAAAAAAAAAAAAAAAAAAAATCATATCAGGATAAAATAGAGTAACAAAACAAGTAACAAAGTGTTGTATGAGCAGTCCACAACAATTCAAAAAAGCCACTTGCATGCAGAGAAATCTAAGATACGGAGCTACATAACAATTGGGTAATCTAAAAAAAAAAAAAAAAGGACTTGGCGGGCTAGCCCGCCCCGTGGCGGGCTGACCCATATGGGCTAGCGGGTTTGGCGGGCTGGTGGGTTGAAAAACTCAACCCAGCCCGCCCTATTTGGCAGGCGGGGCGGGCCAGCCCGGCGGGCTCAGCCCATTTTGCCGGCCCTAGTTTTAAGTAGTTTCCCATGATTATTTTTCTTACTGTACTGATATCTTACAAAAGTTGGCCCAATAAATCCCTGTAAAAAACAGTTTGACCCAACAATACTTCACTTGGACCAATTCAAGCAAATTCAACCTTTTTTTTTCCTGTCGAATTCATATAAAGCCTCAGGCCCTCGCAGTTAGGCAGTTGTGAGTGTCCCTGCAATATTATTCAACTCTTTTTGGCACAAAAAAATTAATTTTGAATTTCTACACGCAATCATCAAATCATATTCTTTTGCTTTATTGAAATTATCGAACTAAAATCTTATATTCTAAGACAAAGTCATTCTTGTTATCGAACTAAAATCTTATATATATAGAGGCAGGATCTTTTGACACCGGTGTCAAAGAAAAAGTTCGACACCTCATATGAGAACCGTTAGATTAAAAAAAATCAACGATTCTGATTTGTAAACATGTGACACCTTTGATTTTTTTTAATCTAATGGTTCTCAGATGAGGTGTCAAACTTTTTCTTTGACACCGGTGTCACTGGATCCTGCCTCATATATATATATATATATATATATATATATATATATATATATATATATATATATATATATATATTCTAAGACAAAGTCATTCTCGGGAAACCTCTGCCACGTGTCTGTTCCTCCTTTAATTTCAGGTTTGCTTTCACACTACAAATTTTAAAAAGTTTCCTTATTTGGTAATTCAGGGAATAAAAAAAGTATAAAAGAAATTATAATCTAGACTCAAAATCGATGGACACCATTTGCTGTCTCAAATCAATGGTGCAGATTTGTTCTTATTTTTAATGGAACACAGCTCATCTCATTTTCAAATTTTAAATTTCAAAAACTGACAACTCAATTAATGTTCACCTACTTTGTCCATTGGAATTGTTAAACGTTTAACAAAACCTACACGCCTTCTTTTGTAGTCGTTCACTTATTTTGACATCATCTTCTTTCTCCTGTTCTTACTGCTTTTTTTTTCCAGCTTCCATATCAGAGCAAAACCACATCCTTTCTGTTCTTTTTAGTCGTTCTTTTTAATCAATGGTGCATATTTTTTTTAGTCGT